GGCCCCTCCACCCTGTTATCATAAGACTGACATGTCCTGTTTTCCTCAACTTGCCCCACAGGGTGGGCAAACTGGACCAGCTGGATAGGAGTGTTTGGAAAAGTGAGGTGGAGCTCCCAGGCTGTGCCTGTCATACCAGAGGCTGAGCTTTGCCCCTCTCCCTGGGTTTTTCAGCTGGGCCACTCCCAGAGGAGGCAGGGGTGTGACCCATCCCACCCACTGGTGGTCCGTGATTCATTCACCTATGATATCACTAATAAGCATCTGCTGAAGGAGCAGCATTGTGTTTGGAGCTAGGAATACTCTGAGGAATGATTTAGTCCTGGCACTTGGAGACATTTCCACTAAATGTTCCCCTGCATGGGAACTGTAAAAGCAGCTAACTTTAGCTCTAACATAAACAAAAGGCCAAGGCAGGCTCTGGGCTAAATGTTTTATCTGTGGTTCATTGAGTCTTATGATAACCCTAATGAGGTTGTCTCATTTTATAATGGGCATACTGTATCCACAGAGGTGAAGGGACTTGCCCAAGGTCAAGCAGCTTCCCAGTGACAGCCAGGATGCAAAGGACTCAACTCAACTTGTCCTCCAGTGTCCCCTCTCTCCTCTAGTTGTATTGATACCTACAAGTCTATAAGCAGAGTCAGGATTAACTACTGTAGCGTGGGGTCATCCATAAAGGCTGAGAAGAGAAGAGAAGATTTGATTGGGCCTTGAACTCAAGAGTTGAATAGAAATAAGAAAGAAAGAGCAAATAATTTGATAACCATCCCCTTGGAATAATCCATTTCCACCTAAAGTGCTAAGGCTCCAGGAGTGGGGACTTTCTTAGATAGTTCAGACTCTCCGTCATAGACCAAAACATAAGCAACTCAGGGTGTGAACATTTCTCTTTACAGGAACAACCAGAAATGTTCTCTTCTACAGATAGGCCCAGCAATGCTCTTCCGGGGCACTCTGAAGAGCTCAGTGGACAGCACCGGTCCTCAGAAAGCTGCTGTCGAGGAGAGTCAGGCAGTCGTGTCCCAGATGAATGAGGAGGACTTTTGGGTTTTTTTGTTTTTAAGACAAGGCCTTGCCACATAGCTAGCCCTATCTGCCCTGGAGCTTCCAGCCTTTCTGCCATAGCCTTCCAGGCTAGCATCATAGGCCTGGGGTTGTTTCAAGGAGGAGGAACTAGCCAGGCACTCTGTCGCTGTGTCAGCTTCTCCTTCCGTCCCACCTCAGACTGGGTTGTTGGCAGCCACAAATGGCTGCAGGCAGAATGAAAACAAAGGGGCCTTTAGGCCTAGTACAGTAAATAGCTCACCTCTGTAATGCTTCACCAGGAAGGTTGCAGCAAGTTCAAGGCCAGCCTGGACTATATATCATGAGTTCCATGCCCGTCCCCAAACTAAAAACCACAAACAAATAAGCTGGCCTTAGAACTGTATGGAGGAAATGGAGGGGTGTTGTGATGAGATAGTCTTGAGGAAGGGAGCTGAAAACGTTGGGGCCAGGGAGTTACTGTAAATTTTTCTTCCTTACATTCCAGGCTACCTTGTGGTCTCTGGGAAACATTGGTCAGTGTAAATGGCTACCAGGTCTTATCTTGTAAGAGAGGGGCAGCCAACACCTTTCTCATTGTCACCTCTACCTTCCCTAGATATGTGCAGGTGAAATTTGTCTGTATTCGGACGCAGTCAAACAGGAAGAGAACACGGAAGGTGGACAGGTGCCCAGCATACTTGCTCCTGCAGTACAACGAGAGCCTAGATAGGCTGTTTATCAGCGAACTGAATACCCAGCATATACATGTTGACTCTAACACTGCTGGGGGAGCCCCTACTAGCAAACTGCAGAAGGCAGTGTGTCTGCATAAACTCCAGCCGTTGCCGCTCAGCATCAAGCAAGACCTTGATGCGGCAGAGACGCTCCCAGTAGAACCGCCATCTCTCTGCCTGGATCAGACGCACCTGCCCGCAAACCCAAAGCAGGAGGCCATCAGTCCCTCCGATCTGGCCAAGATAGCAAAGGTGATGAAAAACTTCCTTACAGTGGATGAGGGTTCAATGGCTTCCTTCAGCGTGGGTACCAGTCAAGACCTGGACCGGCTCAGCTTCCAGAGCAGCAAGATGAGCGACTTGTTCACCCGATTCCCAGAGAATCTCTTGCTGCACCGGGTGGAGAATAGCCAGGGCCATATTCTGTATGCTTTCTTGGTGGAAAACAAGGAGCGAGAGAGTCGAGTGGTACATTTTGCTGTGCTCAAGGCTGAGACAGACCCCTCTGTGGCCAAGATGCTTAATATCTTTACAGAATTCAACTCTGACTGGCCCAAGGTCAAGGTGGTCTTTGTGGACCCTTCATTCCCTTACCGAGCTATTCTTCAGGAGATCTTCCCCGCTGCCCGCATTCTCCTTTCTATCTATCATACAACTCGGCTCCTGGAGAAGAAGTTACATCAAAGCTCTGCAAATGCATCCTTTAAAAGGCTCATGAAGGAAGCCCTGCGGGAGGCCGTCTTTGTCTCTTCTGATACAAGCCTGAAAAAACTCTGTCAGATGTCCCAAGCCCTGCTGGATGAGGAACTCTTCATGTTCCTCCAGGCCCATTGGTTCTCCTGTGAACTTCTCTGGTACATGCATGTGAGGAAGGGCCTGCATGCATGTAACACCTACATGGACAGCTTGGACATAGTCACCAGCAAGGTGTCAAGCCTCTTTCGGGAGCAGCGGTCCCTCCTGGACTGCATCCTTCACTTTGTGGATTACATAGACTTCTTTAATACCAAAGGTCTGAAGAGCTTGCCCACCAACTCTCCCAAGTTAAAAAGAACTCTGCTCCCAAGCACGCCCCCGAGGCCCAAGAAGCCTTTTAGAATTTGTGCAGGGAATGTCCCCAGGCTCCCTGTGGAAGAGGCAAAGCCAGATTCACAGCAGTCTCAACCACTACAGCCCCAGGAACAACCCTGCAAAGGTGGCATGCTGGACATTTTGCACCAAAGTGGCTCTGAACTAGCCTACAAGCTGTGCCACAATGAGTGGGAGGTGGTCCAGAACTCCACCCACCTGGTGGACGTGGCCGGCTCCTCCGTGGCGGTTAAGCTGCTGGAAGACTCGCACCAGGTGAGCAAGGATGGCTGCAGCTGCAGCTGTTCCTTCCAGCAGTGCTACCATCTGCCCTGCAGGCACATTCTGGCCCTGTTGCATACCAGCCAGCAGCCCGTAGGGGAAGCCATGGTGGGCTGCCGGTGGCAGAAGAAGTACCAGCACCTCCTGGGGCCCAATGGGGAGCTTCAGGACCGCGGCATAATCCCGAACACAGACCAGCCGGAAGCGCAAGGTCAGAACCACAGGATTCAGGACCTAAGCAGGGAGCTGGCAAACCTGCTGATGCAGACTGAGGGCCCAGAGCTGGAGGAGCGCTGTTCCACCCTGCGCAAGATTGTGGACATCTGGGCTGACCCCTGCCAGCTACCCGAGTCCAGTCAGCAGCCGGTGGACTTCAAAGATGTGGGGTGCCTCCCTTTCCTCTGGGGAAAGCTGGAGGAAGGGGACAGCCTTTCTCTTGCTGAAGCCATGGTTCAGGACTGAAGCGTTTGTACTAGTACACTGCGTCTCAAAACCTTGGAAGTTTGAGGGTTCAAAGCGGGCGGGTCACACTGTAGGGCAGTATTTTAATCAAGTGTCTTCCCAGGAAAGGGCTAAGAAGATCTTAAAGCGGAGGGATGGGGACGCCTCTGTGTCAGTCCTTTGACCTGCCCCTTTTCCGGCCTGCCTTTGACATGCTGTAGACAGCTCATTCATCGTTCAAAGCCAAAGTTATTCCACACTGAAAGGTCATGCCCCTTTCTCCCCAGCCCCAGAGGTCAAATTGCTTTGACCCTACAGAGATGAACCCTTGCCCAGGATAGGATAAAACAAAGTGAGCTTTGTTTTCTGAGACGGAGGGGAGGAGGGTGGCCCTTGACTGTCGCTGCTCTTCAGAAAATACCTGTGATGTATTTTTATTCACATTAATAAAGTGACTTTGTTTTTGTTTCACTTTTGTGTTTTTTGAGGCAGGGTCTCATGTAGCCCAGGCTAGCTTCAAACGTCCTCATTCTCGAGGAAACTTGAGTATTCCCTAATGGGGTGTGGTGCCAAGTGGAACCTGGCGTTTCAGAGTTAGCAATGTAGTACCACTTTGCCCTCTTCCTACCCGCTAAGGCTGCAACATTGGTGTTAGGGTGCCTTGTTCATTCTGTTCAGGAAAGGGACCACAAGACCGGGAGGGAGGAGACCCAAATCCTAGATTTTACTTCGAGCCATACTTCTGGGACGCTGTTGGCAAATTCCTGACTTAAATTGTTTTATTTTTGAGAGAGGCCTAGCCTGGAACTTGATAAGTAGTCCAGGCTGGCTTCTGCTTCCTGAGCGCGAGCGCGGGTGGGGGTGGGGGGGATTAAAGGCGTGTACTACCACACCCAGCTTTTTAAGACTTGGTCTTACTAGGTTTCTTCCTAGGCTAGCTTCAAACTCTCGATCCTTAAAGAGCTGGAATTACAGACCTCAGTTTCTCCACGAGGCGGAGAACGGAGTACGACCTTTGCACCTCCTCCCATCCATCTGTCTCCTCGGAGCTCGACAGCTCCGTACCCAACAAACCAAAAGGTTCCCTTATAAAACAGGGCTTTTTATTTTCCGTTTTGACCTTTGAAAGGTGCGGTTTTTCCAACCCCCTTAGACCGAAGGGAGGTTCCGCCCTAGGGCCGCCGGTTCCCGGAGCGAACATCCTTCCACAGGCTCTCATTGGCTACCTCCGGCCGAGCCCCCGTAACCCTGGCAACAGCGCCCGCCCAGGAGCTGCCAGTCCAGGATTGGTCCGTAGCTCCCAAGTTGGACGGCGTGCTCTTTAGTCCTTTGGCCTGAGTCTTTGAGAAGCTGGCGTGGTGATTGGTAAGCCAGGGCGTCAGTCAGTCGGAGGCGGGCCCAGTGGGAGAAATGGCTGCCGCGTCTGCTGTCTGCCGGTGGGTGAGCGGTCTCAGCAGGAGAGGCGTGGACCCCGGGTGCAGCGCTTAGGGCATACAGCTCCCGCCAGTGGGAGGTAGATTTCGGCTCCGCTGGGCTCGAACGTGAACCTCAGCTTCCGCGTCCCACACCCGGACTCAGGTGAGGTCAGAGGCCGCCTTCCCTTCCTGGTCCACTTTTTTGGACCCTATAGGATGCTATCAGGATCTGGAGCCCAAGACTCGGCTTCCAGTTGTCTTTGAACCTACGTCTTTGAACCTCTCTGTCTCTCATCTGTCTTTGAACCTGAGACTCTCATCTGCGAAATGGGGACAGTACATGGAGCCAAACAGGAAACATTTGCATAAGGCCTTGCAGTCAATCGGGATATATGTAGAAACAGGAAAAGCTAAACACAACTGTTAGCCCCGGGTTATAGTGAAAGGAATTCGGTTTTCAGAGAGGGCCACCGGCTTGCCCAGTATTTCACAGCAAATTTTGAGTGATTGCTTTTTTTTCTGGTATATATCAGGACAAAAAGAGTTTTTAAGAATTACAAGAATTTGTGAACGTAAAGGCTGTACAAACATCCAGAAGGTCATTTTAAAAAAGAATTGTATGTAGTGACACATGCCTGAATCCCAGCTCTTAGGACCTGGGGCAAGCCAGGTCCACACAGCAGTGCCCTTGTGTAGAAAAAGAATAAAGGCCATATGTTTTCAATCCCCTGAACTGCCAATGAGCTGTATCCTCCAGCCCAGAGTCTTTATTCCTGAGACAGGATCATTTATCATCCAAGATGACCTTGAGTTGACCCAGCTGCCTCCACCTCCCAAGTGCTGGAATTTCAGGTGTGTGTGTTACCACACCCAACTCCCCAGGCCGTTGGTTTGGGTTTGGGTTTGGGTTTTGGTATGTTTGAGTGTGTGTCTGTGTTGCTGTTAGGGGTTTTGTGTTTGGGGACAGGTTCTCCCTAAATTGTACTGGTTTTAAACTGGTCCAGCCTGCTCCTTCTGCCTCAGCCTTTGTGGTAGCTTGGATCACAAGTACGTACCACTACACTGGCTCCATGCCTATTAAGTCCCTGGGAACCAAACGTTTCCATGGCTGGCTTGTTATTTCCATCTCATATCCAGGGTAATCTTCCCTAGAGAGACCTTGCCACTTTAACTAATGTGTCCTGCCTTCCCCAACATACTCTCTGACCTGTTTCTCATTTTTCTATAACCATTATCCAATGTATCCTTATGTACTTGTTGTATATCTGCCCCTAGAAAATATAGGGCCATGTATTTGATAAAAATTGATAAATATTGAATTATTGTCTGGATAAATAAGTGAAGAGCCAGGTCCTTACTTTTTTAAGTGTCTCTTCCTTTCCATAGGCCCATTGGAACAAAAATCTAAAACTACAGTCTAGCTTCAGGCATCCAATTATGTGGCACTTGAGAAACGTAATGCTTTCCTGACGGCAAGGCAATCCTGCAGAGGAAGCATCCTAGCGTGGGCTTTAGATACCTCCCGGCTCCTCCATGGCCCTCACCATGCTGAATGGACTTCTTATTGAGGACTCAAGCCCTTCTACGGTTCTACACGAGGTTGGCAAGAACCCTCAGCTAGATGCCTTCAACTACCAAAGCTGCTTCATGCAAGATCTCTTTGCTCATTTCCCCGAGGTCTTATTTATCCACCGGACCTATAACCCAAGAGGCAAGGTGTTATACACCTTCCTGGTAGACGGACCCCGGGTACAGCTTGAGGGTCCTCTTGCCCGAGCAGTGTATTTTGCTATCCCTACCAATGAAGATGCCAGAGGCCTGGCCCAGATGCTCCAGGTGTTCAAAAAGTTTAACCCAGCATGGGAAAGAGTCTGTACCATCCTGGTGGATCCCCACTTCCTCCTGCTGCCCACCCTGACCATGGAGTTCCCCGCAGCTGAGGTCTTGCTCTCAGCCTTCCACATCTGTAAGTTCCTCCAGGGTAAGTTCTATCAGCTGTCCCTAGAGCAGCCTGTACAAAGTGTCCTCCTGTCCTCCCTGCAGAGCACCATGTGCTCGGCCACAGCTGGCAACCTGCGGAAGCTGTACACACTCCTGAGCAACTGCATCCCCTCCAGCAGGCTGCCTGAGCTCCACTCACACTGGTTGCTCAATGACCGCATCTGGCTGGCCCACCGCTGGAGAAGCCGAGCCCAGAGCAACCGATACTTCCAGAGCCTGGAGGTCACAGCCCACATCCTCAGTCAGTTTTTTGGCACCACCCCATTTGAGAAACAAGGCATGGCATCCGTGTTCCGATACATGCAGCAGAACCCTTCTGACAAAGCAAGCTTCAGCCTGGCTGTGACTCCCGAGAACACTCACACTCCTCCAGATGCCAGCCTTGAAAACCCCAGCACAGAGCAGTTGGTGGAAGCCCGTATCCAGCACTCCCTCAATGCCATCTGCACGGGGCCAGCTGCCCAACTCTGCCTAGGTGAGCTTGCTGTGGTCCAGAAATCCATGCACCTCATTGGCTCCGGCTCAGAAAAAGTGAACATACAGATTCTGGAGGATACGCACAATGTCCAGCCCCAGTCCCCGGCCAGCTGCAGCTGCTACTTTAACCAAGCCTTCCACCTGCCCTGCCGCCACATCCTGGCCATGCTCAGTGCCCGCCACCAGGTCCTCCAGCCTGACATGCTTCAGGCTCAGTGGGCCTCGGGCTGCGCCACCAGTCTCGACAGCATCCTGGGGAGCAAGTGGAGTGCCGCCCTGGATAAGCACCTGGCTGTGACCCTCCTCACTGAGGAGGTAGGTCAGCTCTTGCAGCACTGTAGCAAGGAGGAGTTCGAGCGCCGCTATAGCACCCTTAGGGAGCTGGCCGACAGCTGGATCGGCCCTTATGAGCAGGTACAGCTCTGACCACCCATACAGACCCAGGACTGGGAACTGAACCCAGAGCAGTCCATACGTCAGGCAGACACTCTGCCACTGCCTCTTTTTTTTTTATCTCTTATTCTGAGACAGCCTCTCAACTCACCACATAGCTGAGACTGGGCCTCGAACTCCTGATCCTCTCTCTCTCGAGTGCTGACCACTGCCTCTTTTTTTTGTTTGTTTGTTTTGGTTTTGGTTTTTGGTTTTTCGAGACAGGGTTTCTCTGTGTAGTTTTGGTGCCTGTCCTGGATCTCGCACCGTACACCAGGCTGGCCTCAAACTCACAGAGATCCGCCTGGCTCTGCCTCCCGAGTGCTGGGATTAAAGGCGTGCACCGCCGCCGCCCGGCTCCACTGCCTCTTTTTCAGATACTCTCACTGGGTTGCCCATCTATATCTAGTCTTGAACTCATTCTATTGACAGGCTGGCTTTAAACTTGTAAGCCTCCTAACTAGCCTCCTGAGTATGTGGGATTATAGGCCTGGGTCACAGGCCCAACTTCTGATTATGTTGACACCCTGAAATGTTCATGTACATATGTTCATTCATATCTGCTCCACTACCCACACAGTTATGCTTCCTTCAGAAGTCTCTTGCCCTACCCCAGCCTTCTATCTAGAATGTGTCAAGCTCCATAAAACAATGTTTTCTGTTAAGAGCTCAGTAGTAAATATTGTGGGCTTTGGTCGAATATGGTCTCTGTCATACATTCTGGCTTAGGTTTTGACAACTTTTTCGTAAGGGAAAGGGGTACAGCTCAAGAAATTTCTGAAAACAAGGGATTCCTTGAGGGAGATGGTGGGTGATGAGGTTGAAGGTTCAGTGTTGGTAACTACTGCCCCAGTCATGAGATGATTCTCCTGATGCTAGCCCTGGAGCCTTCCCACAGAGGAAGAGGCTGCTGTGCTGGCCCGGCCAGGCTTCCCAGTGTTTCCCACCCCACCATGGGGTCAGTAAAGTGAATGTTGTACCCCACGGTTGTCTTGTCTGGTTTATACGTGGTCCTTGGGAGCAGTGCGGGAAGAGAACAGGTGGGGTGGTGTACGTGGCGGCGTTGCCTCTGTTCTTTGTTGACCTGCCATAGTTTTTAGGCCTGGTTCTGGTTTTTCTAGCTGTGAGACTCCCAGCACGCAGCTCTCTAGGCCTCAGTTGATCTGTAAAATGGGCATCCTCACAGGGTTGGTCATATAAAAGAATGAGTTTCTATTTGTCTGGATTCGTAGCGTTTGCTCAGCCACGTGTCTCCCATCATTTGCCTACAGTCCTAGCTGGGACACAAGGCAGGAGGAAAATCCATGTCGTCTAGAACTTTAGACAACAATTTCTCAGGTTCCTCAGTACAAAGTAAGCCTCTATACTCTCTCAACAGAGCTTCCCACCTAGGTAACTTGATTTAACCTTGTCAGATCTCTTAATGGTATCAAGAGCTTTCTGGGGGTGGTCCTAACAAAGCAGTGCAATTTATCAGGATGGCTCAGTTACCCACACCCTCTTCCCATCCCTGCCATAGCCATCCCGAACCTTATCTGCCCAAAAACCATACGGAGAAGCCACCCTATGTATCTCATGCTATTTCATCTGGCTACAAGCAGGAGCCCCTCCTGGATCTCACTAGAGGCATCTGTCCAGAGGCCATGTGGGCATGTGCCTGCTCCCACTGCATCCCCTCCACAGCTCCCTCTGGCTCTGGATGGGCCATCATGAAAGCTTGAGCTGCCCGGATCAGGTCCTCTTCCCGCAGGCCTGGAACAGGTACTGTGGGGATGCCAGCGATCATCATGGCTAAGGTAAGGATGCAGATGTCAGGTTGGGAGCCAGCCTCCTTCCCACCTGCCTCGGAGGACATCGTCAGAACCCCTGGTGACAGCCCACACAGCAGCACGGGCCTGGGCCTGTTAGGGCCACCCAGGTGGGGAGCTCTGCTTCGGGAGCAGGGGTCTGGCCAGCCCAAGGTCTCCAGCTGCCTCATGGGGGGCAATTTGGGGCAGTATCGGTTGTATTCCTTCCTCCGCGGTGTCTCCCAGCTAGCACCCCCAGAGCAGCCCCTGGCTTCGGGCACTGCCAAGGTAGGGCCCCAGGCCTGGGCAGCAGCAGGTACCACCTGCTCGGCTTTCTGGCCGAGTGGACCTAATCCACCAGACGCCACCACCACTGGCTCTGCAGCACTATAGAGGCCAAGGGACGGACCCGAAGCAGCGGCCCCACCTGCAGAGACAGGAATGAGACGGAGTGTTATTCTTGGTCTCTCGGAGGAAGAGGCCCTGAGGGGCAGGGCCTGGGAGCAGGGGCAGTCAGAAGCAGCCCAAGAGGACTGTCAGAGGTTGGGAATGTAAGCATTACTCATCTCTATAACTCCAGCCATGGGACTCCCATACTGCAGGTGATGGAAAAGTGTTTGTTAAATAAGTGAGTAAGTGGGTAATTAGTAATTGGCAAGGCCTTTTGGAAATCTTCTCTTCCAAGAAAATGGATTCCATGGTCAGCCCCAAAGCATCCAGCAGAACCTCCTCCCCAAAGCCAGGAAGCAACTCCACATGGGAAGCTGTGGTGCCCTCCAGTTCCAGGACCCCCTCTCACCTTGGCCAGAAGGCAGAAGCCCCAGATGAGTTTGTGGAGACATGAAGTAGGACATGGCTGCCCCAAAGTCCCTGTGTGTGAGGGAACAGCCCTATCCCTCCTGCCCTGTCTCCAGTTTTCTGCAATGTCACCTCATAGTCCCTTTACCCCGGACCCTACCTCACAATACTCACCTGTTCATTATAGAACATATAGGTCACAATGGGAGCGTTGAACGGGCGCCTGGCCAGGACCAGGATGTTCTGGGCTCTTGGCGCTATCTTGGTCAAGATCAACTTGGACAGGTGGTCTTGTTTTGCTTTTTTCTGGTGCTAGGGATAGAAACCAGGCCTTTGCAAATGTTAGGAGTGAGCCCTGCCTCAGAACTACATTCTAGTTTTTTGCTTTTTATTGTTTTTTTTTTGTTTTTGTTTTTGTTTTTGCGACAGGATCAAGCTACATGGCCCTGGCTGGCCTGGGCTCCCTGTGATCTACTTCCTGTCCCGGGCCTATCTCCTGTTAGCTTGCTGGGATTAAAGGCGTGAACCACCATGGCCAGCCTGTCTTTGCTTTTGTGTGACTGGCCTCAAACCCTTGATCTTCCTGCCTCAGCCTTCTAGGTGTTGGGAATGTAGGTGTGTGCCCCCACACATGGCTTCACCTAGAGTTTTGTTCCTCAATATCCTCATCTACAAAGTGGGGGTGATATTGCCTCCAACCCCACCAGGAGTTGTGAGGTGAGATGAGATTGTCCCTAAGGAAGCTAATAACCAGAGATACAAATAAATGAGCCTGGTGCTCTGTGCCTTACGGTATGAGTCAAGGTATCCAATCATTCACTACCACATAAACCGAGCATAGGGCACATGCCTGTGATCTCAGCATTCAGGTGGTAGAGGCAGGAGGATCAGAAATCCAAGATCATCCTCCATTTATGGCAAGTTGGAAGGCAAACTGGATTACAGGTGACCCTCCTGTTTTTTTTCCCAAGTTTTATTTATTTATGTATATGAGTGCACTAAACTCAATCCCTAGTACCGCAAAAGGCAGAAGCCAGAACCAGGAGGTCATGCCTGTGCCCTCAGGTGGAGATAGCAGGGCTGCCACAGTTCAAGATCAGCCTGTGCTACAGAGTAAGACCCTGTCTCAAACACTCCAAAAACAATACATAGTCTTTCAAAGGTGAAACCTCTGATCTAGAGAAATGCCTCTCCACTCTAACCATGTATTAGACTCTCTGAAGAGACTCCTTTACAAAAAAACAGTGTCAAGTCAGGCATGAAGGCTCACGCCTTTAATCTCAGAAGTCTACGGCCAGCCTAGGCTGCAGGTAAGACCTAGTCTAAAACAAGACAACACAAAAAGCCATGATGACTGGGTTTAATTCCCTGACAAACCACAAACCAAAGGAGAATATGGAGGGGCGTGTGCGGTGCATTGGCACTCACCAAGTGCCCCAGACAATTCAAAGGGGCGTACACACCAGGGAGCCCTGATCTAGATGGGTTCTAAAACACTTTCTCTGACCTGGTGGCTCCAGAAGGGCCTCTTCCAAGGCTGCAGAGGCAAGGAGACCTCCAGTGCTCAGAACATCAACACCAGTTATTTATTTCCGGCCCTGATCGTTAGCCATGTGGCCAGCTTCAGATGAGCCACGGCTCTGGAAGCAGGATGCACTTCTGTGGCTTTGCTCCCGTGGCCACAGGTCTTCATTCATACTTGCAGAAATCCTTCAGTCCTTTGGGCAGCTGGAGCCCATCAATGGCCACCCTGTGCACCACACTCTTCTGGATCACCAGACGGCACAGGGTTTGCAGGGACGGCACTGTGGAAAGATGTCTGTCAATCTGGGGGAGTTAACACTGGGACTGGGGAGATCTACATCTCGGTGCCTTATTTGCCATCAGCCTGGGAATGACTTTCTGCTCAGGCTCAGCCTGCCTGGTGGGGCTGCTTGTACAGCTGACATACACCTCTCCCTGAGACTCTGACCACACCTGCTTCCATTATAACACAGCCCAACTCCTGCCTTTACTCACAGCCCAGTACAGAGCAGGTTTCAGCTCAACAAATTCATGACACGTGACCAGAGGTATAGGTGAAAGGTTTACTGGGCTGCAATGAGCCAGACCTCAGAATTTAAAAGTTCTCAGTCTGGGCTCTGGGACGGCTCTACACCGATAGGTCCTAAATCTGTGAACATCTAAGAAAGACACAACTCGCCAGGTGGTGGTGGCACACGCCTTTAGTCCCAGCACTCGGGAGGCAGAGCCAGGCAGATCTCTGTGAGTTCGAGGCCAGCCTGGTCTACTGAGCGAGATCCAGGAAAGGCGCAAAGCTACACAGAGAAACCCTGTCTTGGAAAAAAGAAAAAGAAAAAAGAAAAGAAAAGAAAGACACAACTCCTAGCTGAATGTGGTGACTCATGACTCTAATCCCAACCCCCAGCAGGCTGAGACAGAAAGGATTGTCATGGAAGTTTGAGGCCTGACTGAACTACCAGGTTCCAGACCAGCCTGAGGTACAGAGTGAATTGGTCTCAGAAAACGAAAAATAAAAATGTACAAAATTCTCAAGAAGCCCCAGGTCTAAAGTTGGTTTTAGAATCCCTGTCTTAGGCGCTGGTGTGTGCAACACAGCAAGAATGTTTGCCTAGCATGCATGAGACCCTGACTCGGTTTCCAGGACAAAAACATCAAACAAACAAAATCCCTATTGAAACATCGTCCAAACTAAAGGGGACCTGTAGGGTCTTAGCTGAGCAGTTGAGATGAGTGTACTGAGGTAGGCCGACAGCCAGAGAGTAATGTGAGCAAAATCACAAGCAGACGCCCTAAGCGAAGCCAGATTCTCCATCTTCAAAACTAGTGCTGGACAATCTAAGGCCTTACTAGCTGGCTGTGGAGTCCTAGCAGGTGCCTGGTCCTACACTGAGCTAGAGGGATGGAATACGTACAGCCATACTCCAGTTGGACCAGGCGCACACTCTTGGTGGAGGCAAACACATCTACCACAGCGTAGAGGGGCCGTGCAGCGGGCAGCCCCCGGGCACTGGGGCCCATGTCTTCCCCGTTGATGACGATGTGCATGTCGGCGGTCCCATCCTCACGCGGGCAGAAGAGAACACCCAGGCGGCTCCGACGCGCTGTAGGAGGCAGCACGTTTTGTTCATAGAGCTGGTCCAAGAGGTGGCTATAGAGGCCTGGCCGGCTGCGGCCCACCAGGCGGTCCCGGGGTATTCGGAACTGCTCGATGCGCAGGTAGGGTTCAACCAAGAGGGCTTGGGGGCGGCTGGGGGCCGCCGACTCTGCATCTGCTTGACCCTCCCGGGGCACGCGGTTGTGGTGGCGTGTGATGGCAAAGACCCAGCTGTGGCCAAGGCTGACCAGGTCAGGCAGTGAAAACTCGGGCACAGCGGCCAGAGTGGCCGGATCCAGAGCGGTCAGGCCAAGACGCAGATGCCCGCACCAGCCCAGTTCTTTTTCCTCTATCTCCACTAGGAATACCTGGCCCGGGACCAGGGGCTCGCGACTGAAGCACACACCGTGGGCGAAGCTCTCCACGCGTGTGGCTCGCGTCCCCGACGGGTCCACGCGGATGTTGGCTCCGTGCACATGATGGAAGCGGGTGGGAGGGGGCTCCGGGCGCACAGGGTCCCGTGGGCCACCCAACCCTACGAGTTCGGAGACAGCAGCCATCTCGCCGCCATGAGGCAAGCGAGCTCATGCCAAGGGCTATTTTGGGCAGCAGGCTCAGATGGTGACCTCGGGGGACCATGTAAGGCATTTCCCCCTTGCCTACCTAACCCCTGCTCGGCCCGGGGGTCCTAGCGCCGCTTTCTTGGCATCTCGCCAGTAACATGTCCCCAGGAGCCTGGGAAACCTTGCTGTCAACACCAAGATCATCTGATCTCTGACACCCTAGCTACTAATCCGCGGGGCAGTGCACTTTGACCTGGTAACTGACCGCTCCCGACCCTCAGGCCCGCTGACAAAAAAAGTGGACATGAGCAAACTGTCACGTGATGCAGAAGTTCACGTGACTAGACCTACACATGACTTCCAGTCCACCGGCGCCTCCTGGAGAGCAAGGACGCAAGGAAGCAGAGGTAAGGAGATTCCCGGGCTGATGGGCAGTGAACGAGGTTCTGGGGCAGGGGGCTGAACCCGGGTGAGGGCTGCCCGGGGAGATGCGCACCAGCTCCCCCCCTGGGACTGCTGCACCAAAGCGCCGAGGAGCGGGGAGACCGGTAAACATCCTCTGCCGATGCTTCCTCCCGCAGATGCTGCGAGCCGCGCTGTCGCCACCGCTCTTGCTGCTGCTCGTGTCCTGGGTGTCCCGGGGCGAAGCAGCCCCGGATCAGGATAAAATCGATTGCCTCCCCGGCCTGGCCAAGCAGCCCGCTTTCGAGCAGTACTCCGGCTACCTCAGAGCCTCGGATTCCAAGCACTTCCATTACTGGTATGCGGCCCTGCCTACCGAGGAGGGCATGGTAACTGGGCGGGCGAATTCTGATGACCCCAGGCAGGACAGGGTCTCTTATTTACATCAGTCCTGCCCTGTACCCTTCCTAGGTTTGTGGAGTCGCAGAAAGACCCAAAGAACAGCCCCGTAGTGCTTTGGCTCAACGGGGGTCCTGGCTGCAGCTCCCTAGATGGGTTCCTTACAGAGCACGGCCCCTTCCTGGTGAGTTGACCTCTGTTCTCTCCCGCTGTGAGAGAGGGCGGGAGACTCGGGAGAGGCAGGGAACAAGGAAAGCGCAGGAAGAGGGAGGAAGAAGGGACCTGTGGCTTCCCAAGTGTGTTTTCTTTCTTAACACTTTTGAGCCGGGCGGTAATGGCGCACACCTTTAATCCCAGCACTCAAGAGGCAGAGGCAGGCGGATCTCTGAATTCAAGGTCAGCCTGGTCTACAAAGCGAGTTCCAGGACTGCTCTGTTACACAGAGCTTTAATCCCAGCACTCAGGAGGCAGAGGCAGGCGGATCTCTGAATTCAAGGTCAGTCTGGTCTACAAAGCGAGTTCCAGGACTGCTCTGTTACACAGAGAAACTGTCTCAATAACAACAACAACAAGAAAAACCCACATTCTATTTTGTTTTGTTTTCTCTGACCCTTGACTACCTTTCTGTACCTCTCGACGAGTGTGGCAAGCTGTAAAGAACCTAGCAGTGTGCTCTTTCCAC